CATCCTGTATCTCTCAGACGGGTAAACTTCGGCATCAGTTGTTGCGTCTTTGTTTTGTTTATCGCGCACGAACGGATATTTCCTGATAATTGTGCACTGTATCTAATTGGCAATTAATGCGCCTGCAAAATACAGATGAATTCCAGCGGTCTTCACATCCAATAGCAGACCCTTTTTTCACGCGCCTCGCTTAAAATGAAGATAAACAACATGCGGATGGATGAGAGAGTCAGCAGGCAGGTGGGAATGTAATGGAATCAATTAGGCAAACACTCGTGATTTATATTCGGAGCTGATAACAAAGAAAGCTTAATTTAGTTTCCCTTCCCTTCTTTTCTTCCTAATGTTTGTACAAAAAACAGCTGATAAATCCCACGCCGCATCTTGTGACAAATAACCACGGCGTCAGGCCTTTCTTTTTTATATATTTCCTTGTTCGTTCTCGTGTCGGAATTAGCTCACGAACGGCACGCGCGTTGTATCTGCGCGCTCTCTCTGCGCGCGTATGTTCTAAATTTCTTTACGTCGACGCAAACTGTGTTTGCATATGTCAGGGTGTTTGGATGTGAGTAAAAGAACCTTGTTTGTTCGAGTTTGCAAATACGAGTTTAGCATTCTTCTGTAATGAACCCCTTCTGTTGCTTTCTCTTATCTGTTCCCCTCATTGTCTCCCCCCACCTCCCCTCCTGCTTGCTGCGGAGCTCTTGAGAAGAAGAACTCGTCTGGCCCTCATTAATGTCCTTGGCATCCGCTTGGCTCTGCAACTCTCTCTTCCTCTCCCCAGCCTCTTACAGCTTCATCCCACATTCTGACCATGCAACTGTTGTACACAAAACACTAGCAGGCTTCAACTGCAATTAGTGCTTATGTCGTCAGGCGCTTGCAAATGCGTACACACACACGCGCGCACACACACCCACACACACACACACTGGAGAAGTGTTTCCAGCTAGATCTTTTTCATGCCGTAGACCGTCTTCCCCATCCTTCACCCCTGCAGTCTTTTAAGTAATGAAGGACTTGTTGGACAATAATTAGACTGGCTTATTAAGCATTCAGTTGTTTAGCAGAAACACACCAGGATGCCATGTTCTCTTAGAGAAGGCCTTTATTTAGGGCACACACTGGGACAACTCAGCTCGAGAAGGAAGTGTATGTGGAGACAAAACTGAGGACAGGGTTGCATAAAGTTCAGGCCTAATTTACACTTTGCATGTTGCCGTCATGTTTTGCCTTTTAGCAGGCAGAAAAGTCTATATGTTTTATTGGAATTTCACAAGGGAGACCTGCGCAAAGTAATGCATAATTGGAAAGTTGAAGGAAAGCTATGCATGATTTTAAATGTTTTGGGGTGTTTTTTCAGATTAAAAATCTCTAAAGTTTGCAATGCTATGAAGGGAGTTTTACTTTTGTGTTTCTAAGTAAAATCTAATCCAATCAAAAGTCTTCAAAAGTCATCTGATGATTAGATTCCCATTGTACGTATTACAAATACTGGGTTTTTGAGAAAGACTTCCCAAGTTTGTTAGAGAACAATTACCACGAAAACCAAGGAACTCACCAGATTGGTCAGAGATAAACTTGTGGAGAAGGATAATGCAGAGTTAGGTTACGAAATAATATCTCAAGTTGGCCACCCATCCAAACTGACAGGTTGAAGAAGGATAGTTTTAATCAGAGTAGCAGCTATGACGTCCCTTTGTAGTGGTGGAGGAGCTGCTGATATGCGCAACTCAGGTGAGACAATCTGCTGACCTGACCAGTGAGTTGTGCAATCCACAAATCTGGTATTTATGGCCAAATGGGAAGGTTGTTAAGTTGTTGAAAACAAAGCTAAAAATTTACCACAGCTACTATAACATTGGGGGTAGAGCAAACATGAGGAAAGAACTAATTCAAGCAAATGGGACCAAAATTAACTAACACCATAAATACAGCAGTTCAAACATGAAGCATGGTGGTGGCAGCATCATGCTGTGTGGATGTGTGCTCTTCATCAGTAACAACGAGGTTGGTCAGAGTTGATTGGAAGATGTTCAAGCAGTCATCCATTCCTGGGTCCCCATCATTTGTACAATTACTGTACGGTCAGGGTGGAGCTACTGGCGTCACTCAAAAGAGTCCATTAAATAAGGAACAGAAAAACGTCACTGTTTGTGACAAGCACAAGACATTTGTTGTTCTACTACTATAGAGTCTATCTGGCAGTGGAAACACTCTCCTGAATAATCTGGATCATAAAGTAGCATACTGAACACAGCCCGGTTGTTCTAAGGGTACATTCACATCAGTCACGTTTAGTCCGCTTTAATCAAACTCTGGTTTATCTTTCTAGAAAGTCTGGTTTGTTTGGGGAGGTATGAATGCATAATCGAACTCTGATGTGGACCAAAGAAGAAAAAAAAAAAAAAACGAACTCTGCTCCGCCTCAAAACCTAGGTCAGAGTTCTGTTGAAGTGAATTCTGGTGCGGTTCGAATGCTACGTGAATCCCAAGCAATCTGGAGACTGTTTCAAAAGCAGGAAGCGAACTATAGCGCAGAGCACTTTGGTTAAATCCTACCAAAATAAATGCACAAGTCTTGTGCTAGTGGGAGAAATGTATCACGGTTTTTGTAACACACTAGAGAAATCGTACAGTCACTAAAATCTGAAACCACTCCATTTTTGCTTACAATTCCATGAAGAAGAAAGCTGTGGTCAGTGTTGTCTTCTTCAGAGATTTAGTTTTTTTTGTGTGTTGTTTCCTTCAGCGCAGTGCCACCACAGGCGAGGGGGAAAATACGTTTTTCAAGGGTTTTTTTTTCGTTTGACACCGTGGAGTGTGAAAGTGAACCACACCAGCTGAAAATGTAACAATGTTTGATTCCCAGTTGAACCGAGTCCACCAGACTGTCAGCTGTGAAAACACTCTGAGTCATTTTCTCCCACTCCGCAAATATGTATTTTGTGTGTTGGTCTACCATAAAACAATCTGAATAACATACATTAACGTTTGTGGTTATGTAACAAAGTTTAAAAATGTTGATGGAGTATGAACAACTTTGCAAGTCTCTGTAGGTAAGATTAAGTCTCTCATAAATAGAGATCAAAGTTTACTTTTCATTGTTCGATGCCTCATATTGGAAGCCAGCCATAAATTTCTTTTATTTTTTATTTTTTTACTGCACAAAGCTGATAAGTTCCCTCACACTGTGCAATCTGATAGGGTTTAAGCCATTAGCTTGCAAAAGTTATGGATTGTTTCATATTAGCTCTGGTGAAAATCTTTCATTTAGGCCTCTGTCACAGAAGCACTGAAACCAGGCACAGTCATCACTGTTTTCTCCACTACGCTCGATCGTTTTGTGCTGCGGGATCACTTCTTCATCCCTCGCATTCTATTTTTCATCACAACTTTATCCTCACTCATACACTCTTTTAACTTCAGGAAATGAGACGCACATCTCTCGGACAGAAAAATAAAAAATAAAAAGGGAAATAAAAAAGAAAACGAGCAAAAGAACTAGGTCTGGTGTAATCACCAGAAAGTTTCTGACACCGAGAATCACCCCTAAGCTGATGCTGAATGTTTTAGAGCCGACTGGTCTCCCTTACTGAGGGAAATAAGACAGCTCTTGTGTTTGCATGTCTGCTGGGGCTTTGGAGGTAGAAGGAAGGCAGCTAGCTCTTCTGCTCTCCCCTCTCATCTCTTCACACTAATTAGGGAGAACTGGGTTTGAATTTTAGTGGGGACATGCATCCTCAGGCTGCTCTCAGGTAGGTGTGGGGAGTCATCATTCATCAAAGGCTTTTATGAAGATTCTGTTTTTGTGAGAAACATAATTTTAGGTCATATTTTATTAGAACCAGACATCATGGTGGAATGCAGCGTGACCACTTTTCTGTCTCTGTGTGTTCGTCTAGGTGAATATTGGGCTGTGTGGTGGCAAGGCACCACAGGCAATGATAAGGAGGGGGCTTAAGCAGCCGGCTCTCTAGGCATAATCACAGCTCCCATTTCAAAGGGGAGAATGCCAATTAAAACTGATAGGGCTCAATATGGGCTTTGGGGCTGCCACAGCAAAGAGCAGCACAGGCAAAACAAAAATCTTTCACCTTTCTGTCTTCTGGTCAGGAGAAGTGGTTTGTTGGTGATCTGACGGAAGATTCTAATAAAAAAAAAAGGTTGGTTTTATTAGGACCTGTAACAAGGCAATGGTGAGGTAATCACAGAGTAAACAACGCAAGACATTTAGACTCCTAAGTCATGTTTAGTGTCCATAAATCATGCCTTGTAAAAAGATAAGCGCCCATAAACTTTTCTATATTTTATCACATTACAATCACAAATGTCTATATGTTACATTTTTATGATTCAACACTCAAAAAAGTACATCATTTCAAAACAGACATCTAAAGAGTATGTACAGAGTTTCACTGAGCAAATACTTCATAGAAACATATTCGCTAAACCTTTTGCCCCATTTAATTTGTGACGATGTGCAAACTCTGCTGAATTTGATGGACAATTATCAAATTTTGCTGAAGACGCTAAATTAGAAACTAGTTAAATTAGTAATAAGGTTTCCTCTGTTATAGGCTGCTGTCGGTTTTATTTAAGGGTGTCACAGAAAGGGGGGCTGAAAATAATTCATCAAGCATTTTAAACCCCCTTAAAATCTTTCTTTCACTTCACAATTTTCCATTATTTTATTTTGTCACCTACAATCCCAATATATGTATATTAAAGGAAATGAACTGCAGAAGGTTATGAAGAGTCAATTCAACAATTCAAGTATCATTTGTCAAAGTAATTCATTTAGATTTTCACAAGCTCATTATGACTTATGTTTCACATCAGGCAGGGTAAAGGTAAGTAGTCATCATTGCAACCGCAAAACAAACTAGCTGATTAAAACTAATTTAATTGTGTGTGTGGGGGGGGGGAATGAATGAGCGTTTATGATATGCAAAAAGTCCTCAGTAACATAATTGTTTTGTCATTTGGTAAGACAATCACAGGGACAAAACACAGATTACATAAAACAATGTTTTATTTATTTATTAGGTCTTGTTGCTGCTTATCAGCGTTGCATAAAACTCGGGTTACACAAGAAGCCCTTATCACCAAAGCAATCGAGAACGGTAGATAGGTCACAATGTGCTGATGTGATTTATGCTCATGCCCAATATTATGTGACGAGTGTATCTGGGTGCTTGGACAGATGTGTGTGAAGTGTAACACTGTCTGACAAGCTGATAACATTTTTTTCTGTCATATTGTTTTACATCATTAAGTAATAAAGATTGATTGTCCTTTGGCTGCTGTCAGAGAGCATTTTGCACAGTTGCCCTTTTGCTTCTGTGATGATTGTGTGTATGTGTGCGTGTGTGTGTGCAAAAGACAAGAAAACACAGAAAAGAATGATGGTTTTTTTTTTTTTCTTGGAAGCTCAGGCCTTCCCCCTCCACAGATCGGATTCAGGCTGCACCCAATCCTCTCCCATGATGCTCTGCAGCCGGAAATTTTGGAAATACTCCTGGTAAATTCTATGAAACAGAAAGGGGATATAATTATGCATGTATTTCTTTTGCCAACATCCATATGAAGAAAATCACGAATGTGTTGTAGATACATGTTCAAACTGCAAATTATGAAGAGGTATGAAAATAGTTACTCCCTGTTTGAAATTAGCAAACACCAGCTGTAAACTGGAATCCGTCATCGCACAATGAAATCAGTGCAGATAACTGATGATTATGAGGATGTTATTTGTGAAGTATTTAGAAGTGCTTCAAAAGGAACAAAAACTAACTACAAAGAAAGAAGTCGGTGGAACATTTATAATATATTTCTCCACAGCTGCTGCTACTAATACACATTGAAAATAAGTTGACCTCCTTAAGAAAACTTGCGCATCTTGCCAAATAAATCGCCTTCTTCTCCTTGTGAAATGTACTTATCATTACTTGCAGTTTCTTTAAAGAGGATTCACATTACATGTATCATTAGTGATCTCATACTCAAGCAGATCAGCAGTTGTTGCTGCTGAGGAATTTCAAAGGGCAGTCGTTTCGGCGAAGATAACGGGTACAGCATGTAGGCCTGTGCAACCGTCCTTTCGAGGCAGATTTGTTCGTTTGTTTTTGCGTGTCTACCTTTGGGGATTGTTGGGGGTTTATTTGTTTTTGCTCTGCTCGTTATATGTTTTTGCAATCTTAACATTCCCAGGTATGTGGGGGTAAAGAAAATAAAAATATGGACTCAAGCAACATTGATAACTGGAGACCTGAGAGAACTGTGAAGTGAAGCGCATTGAGAAAGGACATTTGGAGGAGATTCAAAAGGCTGGGGCTGCAGCTGGAGTTAGCACTTCAAGAGCCATTAGCACACAACTGTTGCTTTCCTCGCGTTAAGCCACTTCGGAACCCGAGACATTGGAAGCTTTTTAAGCAAAGGAGGACCGTTCGACTGCACTCGCTCCAGAGAACGAGTGGAGAAGCTGACATGTTTTATGGCGATGCTGATTTCACTTTGCAGCAAGGCTTGGCACCTCCTCACACTCCCAGAAGTGCCGATACTTTCTCTAATGGCCCTGACGTCATGGTGTCTAGGGGAACCTCACACACCTGAGAAAGCATGTGAAGTGTTTTATTTATTTATTTATTTATTTATTTTTTATTTTTATTTTATTTATTTTTTTTTACTGAATAACTGAAATAAAGATTTTACTTTCAGTTCACTGTATCCTTCTTAGTTCATTTACTTGTCTATTTTCTCTCATCAACGTCATGCACTCTAAATCTTATAAACGCTCCCATTTGAAGATGCTTTCCCAGAAACATATCAAAGCCAAGCTATTCTCTCGAGTTGGCCTACTCACGCGTCGGGGTACAGGCCTTCCACTAGGTCCTCTTTGGGAATGGGGTAGAGTGCTTCGTGTGTTCGATTCTCTCTTATTCCGTGGCTGGCATAGCAGTTCATCTTGTTGACATTGGGGGGGAAGTATGTCCATGGGATTAAAGCCTGACCCTGCCATGTGTCCCCCGTGATTGTGGTTGTGAACTCAATTGGCAGTAGTTGCTGGGGAGTAATGATAATGAGGAAACTATGAATGATTAGCACAAAAAAACAAGCGCCTGACACGCAACAATAATGTTAACTTACATAGAGCGGATATCCGGCTGCTTTCAAAACTATTAGGTGTTGTCCGTATCTGTAAAGTAAAAACACAGCAGAGATGTTCACTCCGTCTTTCAAACATATAGTCATAGACATGAAAAGAAAAACAAAAAATGGCATAAACTCTAACTTACGGGCAAAGCACCACCTCCAGGTAATTGTTTTTTGTGCTATCCAGGAATACTGAGCTTGCAACTATGAAAATAACGAAAGCAAAGACCTTAATTATGAATCATTTTTAAACTTAATTCTTAAAACCAACCTAATTGTTACAGAAATCAGCGGTCAATTTTAAAGTGCGCTCAAAACCTGAATATGTGCAACAGCTGGTTTCCCATTTCAACATACTCAATGCCTACTTACATTTATTGTGGTTCCCAATCTGTTAAGTGGTATTAATTAGGGCCAATGTAGGAGGATGGGGGGGGGCTCAGTAACCAGAAATCACGCTTCTTTATGGTCATTTAGAACAGACTGTTATCACTCAGGCTCATTATAAAGTTTAATTGCTTTGTATTGCCATAATAATGATAATGCTGTTACTATAATGGCCTCATAACATTGACAGGCCCCATGTCTCTCATATCTCATTGGAATATATGTGAAATTTTAAATCAGGTTAAACACTTAGTCTTCCAATTTATATTACTGCTCTACTTGTGGCTTAGCGTGACGAAGGTACAGTGGGGACTATTAAAGCCGTACATGTTCGCACGTGGAATCTATCAGGCTTTAAATATTTGCTTTGGGAAGTTTTTAAACTTGGATTTTAAATTTCTTGCATGGTATGTGAAACTGGTAGGTCAGGAATGATTTGTTTGTTGTTTGAGAACACATTGAGTTTAAAATGCAAGTTTGAATTTGGAGTGTAAAGGAACATTACGCTGAATGAAGAAAGGGTTATCTTGGAAATGATAGAATTGGGGAAGTGCAGCTAGTTATTGAGTAGAAAGATTCAATGGATGCAGTCAGTAGTAATAATTCTACAATTAGGTAAAACTGGTTCACCACCACCCCGCCTCTCGCCCGGAACGTTAGCTGGAGATAGGCACCAGCACCCCTCCCGACCCCACTGAGGGACAAGGGTGTTCAGAAAATGGATGGATGGATGGATGGTTCACCACCGAAGCGAGGTCAATAAAATGTGTTTTCTGCCTTTTAAAATTCAAATTTGAATATTGTGTTTACATAAGTGACATTGTAAGTTTATTCTCACTTTTTACACTCACTTTCTTCCACGCAAATCTGTTCATATGCTTTTAGGACAGTAACACGCCAAACTGCGTGGCTTTCATACCTTCATAAATCTTGAGCGAGAGGTCCGGAAGGCCGGGTTCAGCTGGAGGATGAAAACCCTTAAAGAACGGACCAGAGACTTCAATTTTCAACCCCGATTTCCCGTCAGAGTAGGCCAACCTGATGGGTTCATGATCCACCGGATTGCTGTCCCAGGTGTGCTGGATTGCAAACTCCATTTTCCGGAAATGACTGAAAATACGCAAATTAGTCTGAATGAGAAATTGCTGAATGACAAGAAAAGAAAGCATAATAAAAATAATACTTACAGAGCTCCACAGCATAGCAGAATGTGGACCAGTGCTAGAAGCTGAAAAGTGACCGCCATGTTGTCCAGTCTTCCTATACACTACAGCATCCCGTGTTGCTGCACTCCTTCAACTATTTAAGCAAGTTCTTATCAAAATGGGTCTAATGTTTAATATGTTCCTGTTACTCAGTAGCTACAGAGTGAAATAAATTAGTTTGTTTTTTTTTCAAAGTTTCCTTGCATGATAAACCTAGAAACTGATTAATGATCAAATGTATTTATAGCCAGCTAAGTTTAGCTGCGATTGTGTTGCTGCTGAATTATAAAACTTTGGCATTATAAAAACATGCTAAAAGTCTCAAGAGGCTTCTTAAAGATTTCTTAATCAATTTCACATGTTTTAAATCGTGATTTAGTGAAAACAGAGTGGTTGAAATACAGCTAATATGCTTCACTTTTATCTGTGAGTAAAAAAATGGTTGTACCTGTAAAATTTAAAGCCTTGAATTGCTTAACCGTTTTGACTTGTAGCATTTCTAATTACCTCAACCTGTGCTATCATCAGTCATACTGAGTAGATCATATAGCTACGAGGTTGTTAAGATAAAATAAAAACATTTTTACTGCCTCTTCTACATATTTTCTCAAGTATTTTAGTGTGGTTTTCTAAAAGGTCTTTTATTCGTCACAGCTTCAGGAGACTCTTCTTTTAGGCCCTTTGACACTATTGATCTCAATCTCACTTCAGTAGCATTGGAATATTAAAAAGTGCCGCACTAGAGTGGTTTGGATCTCAGCAGGAGACAGGTGCTGTTCTATAAACCTCTGTAATTCTGTTTCATCTGCAGCTCTTTCTTGTGGAGTTCACCAGGATTTTTACTCTCAGGCCGATATCATTCTTTATTTACATAATCTCCCTCAACGCTTCGTTCTGTGGGCATGAACATCATGCTCATCTCTGGATGCAGTTGAAGTGCATGGACTCATTTTTATTTTGCATCCAGCATTTATTTTATGTAGTAGGTAATGCGTTTTATTACACAACAGCTTAATTATTGTGGTGTGTTTTATGTTATGTTACCCAGACCTCTCTATACAATTTAGGAACTACAACACAGGACTCATCAAAGAACCTTAAGCTTGAAGCGTGGCTGAAAAAGCTGATATTCACAGAGTCAAAGTCAGAACACAGACTTTTCTTCTTCTTTTGTCATATTTTGTGTAATTGAATATGTTGTTAGAAGGGAAAATAAGCATCAATGACAGTGAGATGAGCTTTTATTTCTCTTTATTAAGGTTAAATGTCACAAATTCATACAAATATATCCAATGACAAGGAAAAAAAAAAAAGAAATTACACAATATATTGCACTGCAATTTTATTTACCATAAAAATAGTTATGACACCTTACATTTGTGTCATTTGATTAAGGAAAAGCAAGAGGTAAACTAGACAAATTATCTAATCACTCTGGCAACTGACTATAAGTGTGTCTAACAGTGAAGTATTTTAATTCAACATATTCCTTTATCTTCATTTTCGTATGTTATTTGACAGGCAAATCAAAATATATTAAACTTTTGAAATACAGAGCTAACACGTAAGTAAGCAGTGCATGAGCATATATTAATGTCTTCTCGAAACAGCAGCAGAAAGAATCATTTGGACTTGCTGCACGGTTTGTTAATGCAGCAAAAACATTTTGGCTACAGGTGCTGGATGTCAAAATTAACATTCATGGAAATCGTAGGTCACACTACGCTCGCGCAATTTATGCCGAGGATGTCCAGTGTTATGCAATGCGTCTGGGTGCGTGCACACACGTGTGTGTGAAGTGCAACACGGTTTGACAAGCTGATGGCATTTTTTTCTACATCGATAAATGATAAACTATGATTGCCCTTTGGTTGTTGTTGGAGGTTTTTCTTTGCAGTTCTGCCCTGCTGTTGATTTCGTTAAGCATTTGTGTTAATAAAAGAAAAACAGAGAGGCAGCATTTCATAAACAGCTCAGGCCTTTCCCTTCCACAGATCCGATTCAGGCTGGATCCAGTCTTCTCCCATAATGTTCTGCAGGCGGAAGTTTTGGAAATACTCCAGGCGATGGCTAAGAGACAGAGGGTTGAAAAATGTTTGTTAGGGAAAAAAAAAAACATATTTATCAACCTTCACATATACGGTACTTTTTAAAATTGAAAGTTAAGGACAGGTTTGAGAGAGCGTATTTATTTTCCTGGTTTATTGTTTAGCATTATTAAGAAGCTAGCAGATACTCATAAAACTAATGAGCATCAATGACATGCTGTAAACTATTAATTTTCCAGCTAGGAAACGGTTGCACAACTATTCCACGAACGGTTGTAAAACAGAATCCAAAGTCTGAAAAAAATGAGCAAAGAGGGATAACATTGAGGATGTTATCAAAAATATTTTCCATGATATCTTTACGGTCCACAAAGAAGATAAAAGCCAGAGAAGTCAATTGAAATCACACAGTGTAGAACCATTTATAGTTATATAAGTTAGATCAAGAGCTGCCGCATAGTGATCGGAATAACTGAGAGGACGATAAATGGAAATGTTAGAGGCATTTTTTGGTTAAACTTCCCCTTCTTATCAAGCAATCCACAAGGTTTAAAGAGAAAAAAAAACACTCTTAAGATTTACTCATCATGACATATCTAAAGAGTGAACTCTCTGTGTGTATTTTTAGTGTTCTTAAGCAGCTCAGAGATTACTGTTGCACTGATGTGGGAAAAGATATAGTTGGCTTCTTTGACTGTGGTAGCAACTATTTTATCTCCGTCTGTACAATTATCTTTTTTTATGTGAAAATTCTGTCAGCAGTTTAGTTGAGGCCGCGATTAGTCTGGCCATAAATTACAATTTTAATCAGTTGTTTTGAGTTTGTTCATTCCCTTGTTATCAAGGCTCGTTTTGCTGGGGTCGTGATGCTTTTGTAATTATGAGATTTAAAACAGCTCCTTTGTAGTATAGCGAAAGCTGTATTTTTGTTATGAGCCTGGTGTTTTGTTGTTTCAGTGTGACATCGTTTCTTGGTTTTCGCATTTGAAACATTTTCAGACAGTGATTTGTTCTTGTTTTTTTTTTTTTGTTTTTTTTTTCTTGTGCAAGTTTTCACATACGGCTCCGATGAGAAATGTAAACACACTCAGGAGAAGAAAGTTTGTCATTCTAACTTTTGGACTTGTAGTTACGTTTTTAAATTGTGCTTTTACAAGCTGGAATGTATTAATGGTATAAATTGCACTGTGTTTTCAAAAACAAGAAAAGGGTGCGCAATTATGTTAAGCTCGACCGAAACTTGGCGCTAATCCTGCAAGTCACATGCCTTCAGGTAAAAAAAAAAAAAAAAAAAAAAAAAAAAAAAAAAAAAAAAAAAAAAAGTTATGGGAAAAAAGATGGAGAAATGTTGCCACAACTGCAAGAAGTTAATTTGTCTGACTCAGCATGAGGCTTTCAAACTGAAGACTTCAACAGCTGTCAAACAAGGTGGCAGCAACAGCCCCAACTTTAACCCCTATTGACAATACTGTGATGCTGGGTTCATGCCATTAAAAACCCATTTTAGAATAATTTCAACAATTCTGCCATAAAGAGCAGTCAAATGTCAAGCCAGACAAAATGGCCTGACAGAAGATTGTTGATGGCTGCAAAACTAAGTTAGGACTTGAAGTGCAACTTGATAAGAGTTTATGTATAACTTTAATCAGCTTGTGAACAAACTGAAGTTTTATTTCACCCACATAAAGAACATTTCAAGTAAATCATAAAAGCCACTAATTAATATGATATTCATGCCCTCGAGTGCATCTAAGCTTCTCACTGGAACTGCATGCAACCGTTTTTGGAAAGATTTGTCTGAGACGTACTGCACAAGGCAGCATACTCACAAGTTTGGCTGCTGGCCTTCCACTATGTCGGCTTTGGGGATGGGGTAGAGAGCCTCGTATGTACGTGCCGCCCCGGAGCCATGAATAGCATAGGAGTTCATCTTGTCGACATTGGGAGGGAAGTATGTCCAGGGGATTACAGCCTCACCAGTCCATCTGTCCCCTGATTTTGTGGTAGTAAAAACGAGTGGCAGTTGTTGCTGGAGTAGGAGGCAATTAGAATAACTCGTTACCTAAGATGCATACAAAATCTCGGAAAAAAAGCAGGCGAAATACTCTTTTGACCTACGTAAAACGCATTGCCGACTCCTGACAGTAGCAGTATAAGGTGCTGTCCATGTCTAAAGTGGAAAACAAATGAAAGCCGTTAATGAACGCGTCTCTTTGACAGTGTATGTAGGATTATAGAAGTGGAAAGAACAAAAGGTTTGCTTGGAACTTACGGGCAAAGCTCCACCTCCAGGTAATTTTGTTTTGTGCTGTCAAGGAAGAAGGACTCCACAACTAGCAATATAACAAAGAGAATAAAATGAGGATGAAACCTTAATTCTTACATTAAGAAATGCTTAAACCTTCTTGATAACCTTATCAGCTGCTGTAACATAGGAGCAATGTAATGAAATGATTGCATTTTTTTCTCGGACTGTTACAACATAAAAATACAAGAGAAGAAACACAGAAATTATAGTATGAGTAACAGGCCCCCTGCTAACCTCGAAACATGCTCATTACCTACCTACACTTATAATGGTTTCCTATTTATTAAGAAACATTAATGAGGCCAAATATGGGGGCCTCATTAACCAGAAATCTGACTTCTTTAAGGTCAATTAGAACAGAGTGTTAATACTCAACCTCATTACAAAGTTTAATTGCAATGTATTACCATAATAATGATAATGGAGCCACAGTGTTCTCATAAACAAAGACCCCGCCTCTCAAAAATCATAGGAATAGATGTACATTATTAAATACAGCTTAAGTCAGCTTTGCCCACACTTATTTAGTAAATCTAGAAGTGAACAATGGCACAGCATTGGTTTGATGGGGAAGATAGAGGACAAAAAAAGCTAACACCGTCCTTGTGCAGAATTATGCAATCTTTTTCAAGAGGCTTACATACACACCGTCTCTAATTAGGTTTGTTCTCAATCATGTGGGGCAGTGAAATGTTATTTAATGTGTAAAACCGCAACAACACTATAAAATAAAATGTTCACC